GGGACGATTCCTCGGACGTCAAAAAAGACAATGAGCATCGTTTTGATGCGAGACTTGCTCATTCGCGCTTTTTGGGGGCGGGGGGATGATTTTGAGTGATGATGCCACTTGCTGCTCTGCCTTTTCGATTCTGGGTCGTACTCGAACATCCAAGATTCGTCTCCGGTTACGACAGAGTTAAGAAAGTCCGGTTCATTTTGAATCAAATCCAACAATTCTTGACAGCGCGAAACTCGAAGTTCTTTCTAGTCTTCAACATTTTCGGCACAAGCTTCGCGCAGACCTTGCGCATTTGCAGATTCTCCGTCACTATCCCATGTATCGCAAATGTGAACATGTTTAGGATGTCATCGATTTACTGGATGCTCAATAGATGGTCGGAACGCAAAATTTCGCACACACGATTCACGTTTTCGTCGGTTCTGGTCGTTGTTGGGCGTCCAGAACGGGGTTCGTCGGCGACCTCCTCCCGGCCTTCCTTGAACGCCTTGTGCCACCTCCCGGACTGTGACCTTGAAATGCAGTCGTTCTTGAAGGCCTCTTGAAGCATCTGGAATGTTTCGGTTGCATTCTTTCCAAGTCGCACGCAAAACTAAATGGCGTATCGCTGTTCAAGCGAACGCTCCATCGCGCCGTGTTACAAAGTCGAAAAACACACTTCTCGCAGAGGCACGTCTTTCCACTCAGACTGCTCGGAGCAAACTGGCGATCGGCTGCCTTGGAAGGGCAGACCCCCCACCACATTTTCCGACCCATTTTACCCCGCTGCGATGGATATTCGCGTCACAATAAAATCATGCGCATTACTTTCATAATGGACCCTGTATTTATTACGATATCATTTGTATTTCCAGTGCATAAAAATAGAATTTTGTGTAAAGCAAAATTAATTCAACGGTTATGTACAACATTAAAAATAATTTTCTATTTATATTAAAAGAAATAATGAATATATATATTTTTTAATTACTTCTTTTAATATAAATCGAAAATTAATTTCAATTGCACACAGCCGTTAAATGTTTACAAATCAAGTAATTAAAAAAGGAGATATGAGCCAAGTTATTTTAATGCTAAACCAGAAATAATTAAATTAAATTTTATATAATTGAATAAACATTTTGACCTGTATACAAGATCATAATTACAAAGAACTAGTAATTGCAGGTAGTAACAATTAAGGTCGTATAAAAATTCTAATAAAATCCAAAATCATGTTAAACATTTTCAATATAAAATATATAATACGAATTTTATATTAATAATACTATTTTAACATGGCTTTAGATATTATTAGAATTTTAATTTTTATACGATTTTAATTTTATTCGTAATTATCGGTGACATTGATAATGATCTTGTGTAGGTCATTTATTCAATTATATGAAATTTAATTTCACATTATTTCCGAGTTAGCATTAAAGTGACTTATTGGTTCGTTGCCTCTTTTTTATTATTTATTTTATATTGAATCTTTATTTGGATTGTATACAGGTATGTTATAAATATGTACCGATGAAAACTTATTTCGACATTTTGCTCTTGATTAATTTGTTCCTTAGTTTTTTATATAGCTTTTATTGCTACAACCGATTGCAACATAATGTAGTATTGTTGATGTTTTATTTTAGAAAAATATAAAATTTCGTATGTGCAATATTAGTTGCTTTCCATTTGCACACGAGTGAAACTGAGTTTAAAATGAGTTGAATATTTCATATTCAGATTAATGATGTCACATTATTTGCTTTGATAAAAAGTTATCACAGACAACACAGGTTTGAACCTGACTTTTAAAGTGAGTTTACGAAATTCACTAAAACATACGATCTTGTGCAGATTATAGGCAAAAACTCAATTAAATCTCACTTGTCAGAATGTAAAAGGAACACGCATTCAACTGAGTTATGATATCACAAGTGAGAATTATCTGAGAATCGATGTAAATAGAAAGCAACTATTATTCTCGTCACGGTATCCAGCAGCAATATTACACACAGGCTGCATAATGTTCCACGCATAATGTATCATTTAGCCTCGTTTAATATTCGGTGAATAACAAGGATAAATAATGCAGCATGCGTGAAACATAACACAGCCGCAGTTACTTTATTATTTTACCGCTAGAAAGCAACATCAATGGGTGTGTTTTCCCTTTTTACTGGCAGTGCAACCATCATGACATCACAACAGTGCCACAGCCGTTCCAAAATTACTGGGGTACTGTCAGCACTATTGTAACGTCATATTTCGGAACGGCTTTGTAGCAGACTGGCAGTAGACTGTAAACAGACATGAATAAACTACTAAATTGTCAATAAATTTCGAACGAAAACAGCAGCGATAGTCTTTCTTCTGAAGAAGATGAACTAATTATGGTATAAACGATTGACGACAAGAGAGAAAAATCAGGACGCTTCTCTCAGGCCTGTTCTCTCCTCCGAGTTAGTAGACTTTCGTTCTGCCATTGAGCCACACAGCCCTGACGCTGTTGATATCTCTGTTGTGTGTATATCTAGTGAATTTCTTACAATGGGATCACCAATTCAAGCAGTTTGATTTCGTGTTAAATACTGTATAAACACATTAGTTAATGAATATTCAGATATGGAATTTAAGTTTCGGTAAAATGAATATGTACATCTTTTGCAGTTAAATATTGGGTCATCTAAAAAGTATCCGCAGTATTTCGTCACTAGATATATGACTATCAACACACATCTAGTGACAAAAAATCGCGGATACTTTTTAGATGACCCGATATGAAGGAAAGCGACTAGAGCTTGCTCTTGTAAGTTGGCTAGTTTGGCTATAATCCGACGATGGCGTTAGTTGTAAGAACCGCGAATAATAATGTAACCAACTGTGTGGTTGATTGCCCTATCTCCCCCCCAGCGTGCTCATACGGGCTATTTGTGGAAGAAAAGTATTTCAAGCAATGGACAAGACGTTCCTTGTAGATGGAAATAAAGTGTAGAATTCATCTAGAACGAATGTCAGTACTGTTTATCCTCCACCTGGACGTGACACATACACCTTGACGACGTGGAGAAAATAACGAGAACACTCTAGAGACTTTTCTTTAAGGAAGTTTCCCTCGTTACCTCGATTTTCATTTTCCCGCGAGATTTCAAACTACTCGCATTCTCCAAACAATCTTACAAGTGTACAATATATTTTTTTATTTCCTGGATCGAATATTTCGACGCGTTGTGCTTCTTTAAGCGATGCCATATTGCACTGTAACTATTATCAGTTTCTAGTAGAGCGAAAGACATTTTCAATTAATAGAGTATTTTTTATTTATTCATAAAAATAACTAATTTTATTTTTTAATCTAATATTAAAGGATAGTTTACAGTTTTATAGCGTTCGGAATTAATTTTTGGCACTCTGATTGCTCGATGATCACGTGATCAAGCTCGCCAAATCTGCTAGCTCGCATCTCAGATTTACATTGCCGAACGCACCTAATGATGCAATACTATTTCCGTCACGCGGTGAAATTATATATCTATTATTTCTGAGCAAGCGAGACGTTGATTGACTATCACGTCAACTTCCGTCGCGCGGCAAGCGTTGGCGCGATAGCCAATCAGCGTCTCGTTTGTTTGGAAGTAATAAGTATTGGGTCATCTAAAAAGTATCGGTACTTTGTCACTAGATATATGACCATCAACACACATTTAGTGATAAAAAACCGCGGATACTTTTTAGATGACTCAATATATAATTTTCACCGTGTGATAAAAGTTGAACTTAATCCAACTTTTACCGCGCGGCAGAAGTAATATTACATCATTTCTAGAAATTTTGCAAGGTGAAGCCAACTTTAAAACATAGAATTATTGCGGTTAGATTAATGCGGACAACTTTCGTCGCGCGACAAGCTTTATTGCGTTCTGTGTATAAAAGCCATTAATCGAAGTTAGCAATATAGTACTAGTATAGACATCTGTGGCTATGACTAATCGAATGTTCCGCCAATTCCGCACCATGGGACCACGCCATGAATATTACGTCTTAAGTTTTCTATGTATGGCCTTTAACCTAGTGAAAAAGGTTTTTGCATGATTGGCACCCCTGTTAAGGTAAGAAAGGTGGGGGAAAGGCATGCCGTCTATGAAGTATGAAAATGGTATTGAAATGAAATAAAACCGACTGTGTGTTCAAGAAGATTTCACAACGTGTGATATTTGAAGTATAATATCAAGACTTGATTCAAATCAATCGATGAATCGAGCGTATATACTGTCAATGGCACTATGATCGATACCGTTCGCACATCCCACGACAGTTCGGACGTAAAATTTCGATGATCTTGATGCGTGGTTAGCGTGGTGTCTCATTAGTAACGAAGTGACACGACGGAGCGAAACTTCTCCGGAGAATAACTTTTCTAGTGATTTGTCGAGGAAGGTAAGGACGACGCGTGTGACTCGCAGGTCGTTTTGCGACACCTTGCGATCGTCATTCGAAAGAACGACCGAAGTCGCCGACGTGAGACGAAAAAATTTTACATCTAATATTACGATGTGACTCAATACGATTCGCTCACACGCAACGCAAGATTGAGAGGGCAGTTCTTATTTTCGTGTTTGGCAAGTTCTGTGTCTTTTGAGATCCCAATTGAGCGAGCGTTAATAGAATGATGCACGCGTATTTTTCTTGACTATGCCGTCACGCCGAATTTCCTCGGGTAGAACCCATGATTGGCGTGATTTTAATTGGCGATCTTAACCTCACATCTTAATCGCTCACTCGATCATATCATAACTCACTCGATTACACGCTCTCTTTCTCTGTCTCAAGCATCGAGAAAAAGAAGAAAAAAGTGTGTATGTTATGTATGTGTACGCCCGCGCGCGCGCGCGCGCGTGCAGTTCATGTCAGTTTAACGACGTCGAAAAAAAAAGTCCAGTTACGTTGTTCTCGCGGCTACCTTCTGCTTCGAAATCCCAAGGTCCGTTTTCACAATATTATCTAAAGATTAAAGATTACCAAGAGATTCGTCAATGAAATTCATTCATGAATTTGTCGGTAACCTTTAATCTTTAGGTAACCATAGATTGTGAAGACAGGGCTGAGTCGTCTGATAACGAACGTCCTCGCCGCGTGGTAAGCGTTATCTATTAATTTTCTCGGTCGCGGGATGCTCGTTTTCGCGGTACCCTGGTCTCATGCACCTCGCACATCGATGTCGATCTTTCGTATTGCATTTTCTGTCACGCTTATCGCTTCTTGAAATGTCGACGTCTTTTATTGCAGGCATCGACTTTCTTGTTATTACTCGTTTATTATTTGCGAAATATGCGGATATATACATTTGCAATACGATGAGATATTACATATACACATAAATACGCCTACGTGCGCATGCAACATCACACAGACGCGCGCGCGTTCTCATTGTCACGTTCTTTTTAACACGTTCTCTTCTCGGTGGCTTCTGCTTCGCGTAAATTTGTTATTATTCTACAACTCCCATTCGTAAGTAATATATAATATGCAAACTTTTTGAGTATTACATTTTATCAATTTGGAATCTATAGTCCACGAGTCTCATAAATTTGTTTTTACAGTCAACAAAGTCAAACAAGCTTTAAGTCCACGATCTTATCATGTTGACATGAAAGCTCTCTAAATAGATTTATATTTTTTTCTAGCTTAAACACTTGTATTAAACAAGTATACTTACTTATTGGTAAGATTTATATAATAAATCAACTATTAAAAAAATATATATATGTGTACATCGCTATAATATCGACATAATTAAAAAATTAATTTTTATTTTTATATTTGCTTACAAAAAAATTATGGAAATATAAGAAAAAAGAAAGAATATATTTTTATTCTTCTATAACCCTTATCGTACAAGGTCTGGTCATTAATAACCAAGCGATTCTTGTTCGTGTATGTTTCTTTGAGTCTTTCAGTAATTGAAAATTGTACTACATTTTATTATTTTCTAAAGTTTCAATATTTATTCTAGAAGATTGAAAGTATGTTGGTGAATGTTTAGAGATTTTTTTTAATCATTTTGAATAAGTGAAAAAACGGATGGATTCTAGTGACCCATGTTTGAATAAGGCATCAAATTGTATCTTGTATGGTAAGAGTTTATTATATTGCTACATTAAAATTAATTGTTATACTAAAATTGATCATTCAAGTAAAATGAACAATTCAAAATTAATATTACAAAAAATTTTGCTGATTCAAAGCATTAAAACTTATTTTCTGAAAACTTTGTTTTTTGAATTATATCGTTATTGTAGCACATACATACATATTTTCTAAATAGCTGATTTATTATATATACACGTGTGCATACATACGCAGAGGTGTTTAAAAAATAAAAAGGCGCTCAGGAGATAATTGGAAATCCCAGAAAAGAAAAAAAGAAAAAAAAAGAAAAAAGTTGATATGAACATAAATCCGGAAATACGTTTGTTTTTTAATTATCATTACCTATGTGTTAAAATTTGAAATTGCTTTACTTTTAAATTTTTTTGTTAAAAATTTAAAAGTAAAGCAATTTCAAATTCAAGGAAAGATAGTTTTTATGGGGATTTTAACATGATTAAAGAGTCAAAAGTTGCGGGTTATTGTCTTGCTTAGCAATATCCAGCCCTCTTCACTAATGTTTCTACATGGAACTCTACCTCCCACGTGAAAGTAGCAGCTTGCTTAATATCTCTTGGAAGAGATCTCAGGATCTTTCAGATTAACGCATAGGCCTATATCAATTTTTATTCTTTATATCAACTTTTTTATTCTTATTCCTGAATCACCTCCTGAAATCCTGAGCGATTGGCCTTCATTTTAAACTTTCTGTGCGACATACATATACATATATATATATATCTCTCTCTCTTTATATATATATATATAAAATTTATGTTATATTTTTTAAATAAAAATCAACCCATTTCATCTATTCTTTGTCGATAAAAAGCAAGGTTGAATAGTAACTAATTAATAAGTTAAAAATTAAATGAAAAGTTAAAATAATTTAATTTCAAATGAATTAATTTTTAATTTAATTTAGTTATTTTTTAATTTTAATTTATTAATTTTTTACTTTTTAACTTAAATTTCTTTATCTGTATAAATTAGTATCTTTAGAATTTTTTAAAGCCAGTATTTTTTAAAATAAAATCTTAAATATTAAAAAATTAGTTTAAAAAAGCTCAGTAATTATGTGATAGACACATCATTCCTAATGTCCAAGGATAAACGTGAGTTGGATCTACATTTAGAAAACGCTATCAATGCTATTACATCATGCTATTATTTTCTTTACATCTAATGAGTGATAGAATAAAAACTGTTTATTCATGTATAATTTTCAAAAACTGTGCAACCATGGTCAACAAGATTGTTTATATTTTAAAAAATTATATTTATTTTTCTTTTGTTACATAAATATTAAAATATGAAATTACCTATTTTAAGGTATTAAAAATCAATTTTTATTATGTAAGAGAAATATCTTTGTTATTCCATATAATTCACGAATAAAATATTAAATATATTCAATTATCTATAATTGTTTTGTAATTGTTTTGTTATTTAAAGTAATCTGATTTTAAAAAGGTTAAAATACTTTTATTTAATAAAAATGTTTTTCAAAATTAACTTTACTTGACTTCAATTACATTAAAAAAAATCTTAACATAACTTTGGGTTTTTTGTTTATTCAACTTTTAACTTAACTAAATTAATTTTATAGCCATTAATTTAATTTTAACTTAACTTAGTTTTAAAACAACATGAACCTACCCCCTTATAAAAAGATTACTGATTCGATGTCTGGTATGTGTAATAGGTTTGTTTTATTGTTGCATTTCTTAATGAAAAAAAATTCTTATAATATCTCAGTGTTAAGAATTTGTAATATTTTAAGTTTATGAAGATTTCTTAAGGCGCCTGAGTAGTCATCACAACCATATTGAATCGTGACGTCAGAAACGAAACGAGCAATGACACGTTAATTTTTATTATGCCAGTTGTAAATCAAGACACTTTAAAGCAATTGTAAAAATGGACGAAAGTTATGTTTATCCTCTCTGACAGTCACTAAATAATCGTGAATAAAAAAAAGTGATAAAAGACATGTGAAATGATTTTATTCAATGCGCATGCGTAACCTATTTTTTTACTTATATGAGCCTTTTATCACTTTTTATGATTATTTGACTGATTGTCATGCGGGATATATGGGATATATGCGGGATAGTTTTGGTCTATTTTTATAAATGTTTTAAAACGATTTCATCATTTTGTTTTATCCAAATTGTCTTCATTTACAAATGGCTTCGTAATAAAAATGAACTTGTCATTTTTCGCTTCTGACGTCTTCATGATTCAATACGGCTGTAATTACTTAAGAGCCTTAAACTTTTCTGGATTTTATAAGTTTTTTTTTTAAATTAGTATGAGAATATTTCAAAATTTACATAAATTAAGTCTAGAAAAAATGTAAATTTTCTCAGTACTTCTGAAAAGTATTGCAATTCGTATAAAAAAATCTGAGAACATTTCTAAAAAGTTATAAAATTATATAGAAATTTTGAAAAATTTTAAAATTTACATAAAAATCCTGAAAAATTTTATGAAGAATCCTTAAAAAAATTATTAAGTCTGAACTGTGTATTAGAACTTCTCTTATCGTTTTCGCTAAATTTCAAACATATATTTTTTATTTCAAAACAGTACATACTAATATATTTATTTTAAAAAACAGACCTAATGTGCTGGTTTAATAAAACGCAAATAATAATGTAGCAACATTTGTCAACAAAATATTAAAGATAAAACAATAAATAACGATTTTTGATTGGTTATATAACAACCAGTGATATACATACATCAACGTATATTGGTTGTATACGTTATTGGCTGTACATGGCACGATTGTCTCTTGACTCTTATTATAAAACTATGAAATATGTGATCTACATCACAATATTGCTAAAAAATTGACCAATTACCAATTAGTCAAATATGAAAAAAATAATCGACTGTGATCAATTCTTATGATTTTACATCGTTTTACTTCTTAAAGCAAAGTTGTAAAAGGTTGTAAACCCTAGACTAACAGCATATTAATGACAGAAATCGAGCAGACTTCGATATATTTGCTACATAATTCGATGCAGATTTATGACCGATACTGCATAGGATTTATCGAATGCAGATTTTGCTCTATATACATTTCTATTAGTTTATATCGACTTCATTAGCGAACTTAATGCAGATATGATTGATGATAATCAATTGCTAAATTCTTTTCAATCGTTAAGCTAGATCGTTTCTTCCAATTTGCATGATGCCAACAATTTGTTTACTTGGTAAATATAATATATTGTATGTATTTAATATGTGTATATATATATATATATATATATTAGAATAGATATTTATTAAATATATGTAATATATTTTTTAGTGTATATAACAAAATTATTTTTAATATATACAGAGTATTTAATGTTAGGTGTAGCATCATTCATGGATAGGTAGAGTGAACTAAATTAAATCGACAAGTTTTGTATCATTTTGCAATTTTTGCAACAGTTAACGAGATATTCATTTCTAAAAATCGCCGAATAAGTATATATCCGTCCGACCTATCACCAAATGTAAGCGCGCAGTATAATACTGCCCAGTATGAAACTGCCCAGATCAAAGAGGTATTTTCTTGCACTGCTCATGCATTGCCAAGGCCACTTGTAGTAAATAACTTTAAGACAAAAATATTATAGTTAGTAAAGTTTATCTACTGATATTATTACAAAAATTACCATATAAATGAACTTGATTATGAATTTATTTTGACACTTCTCTACTTGTAATATCTCTACTAAATTGATATTTTGTGATACATTCCGATATTAATTATGCATACGTAATGTACAAATAGATTCCGTATAGAAACAAGAATAATTTTTTAATAAAAGTATCATGCATATTTATATGGTAATCTTAAAGTTGCTAAAAGGGCTCCAACGGAGTACACCTCCATCACTTGTCATATCATCATGCCCTGAAATATCATACCCGCAAAATGTTCAGTTATTTGATTAGAGAACTTTAATCGCTATTAATTTAAAAACTATTATAATCTTAACATTTAGTATAAGAATTTTAGATTTAAAATTATCTTAGGAACACGCTTTTAAAAGGTGATTCGGTAGTTGCAGGACACTCCGTACCACCCACACACACACACACACACACACACGCACACGCACGCACACGCGCGCGCGCATACACACAAGAATAATTTCGTTGTGTTAAAATATTTGTTAACTTTATAAGCAGATATATTGTTATCAAGAAGTATTTAGATTACATTTCACAGCGTTTTCTCCGAGGAAAATTTTATTTGATATAATAGTATACGTTACATGTACTATTTCGAAAATTTTCCTGAGAATATGTTCGTTCTGAAATTTTTTCTTACAAATAATGAGGCTTCACTTTCTTAAACATTAATTTAAAAAAAGAACGTGACTTATGTAAAAATATAAACTTTTATTTTAGTGAAGAGAGGGATGCCACGTAGCAAGCGAAGAGGACCTTCCAGCACAAATCACAATCATACTCCTATTGATATGTCAGTATCTGGTGCACATGAAGAGAGTTTACCTAGGCATCCTTCAAAACGGTTAAGGCATACCTCTAGGTTTGAAATCATATTTTATTATAACAGTATATAAATATAAATATTATTAAATTATAATAATATCGTTACATTGTAAAATAAGAAAAATTAATATTAAAAGTCCTTTTTGATATAATATACTTTTTTAATTATCACATACAATATTATTGAATTAAATAAAAAGAATTTTTAATTTTTTTTTCTAATATATGAATCATATTGTTGCAGTGCGAGACGATACACAAAATCTGATGATGTATCCAATGCATCAATGTTCTCCCAAAAACGTTGTATCACCTGGTTTAGAGAATATACCTCGCCAGATGATACAGACACTCTCGGACCCGAGGGGATGGAAAAGTTTTGTGAAGATATTGGTGTAGAACCTGAAAATGTAGTAATGCTCGTTCTTGCATATAGAATGAATGCTCGCCAAATGGGCTTCTTCACATTGAGTGAATGGCTTAAAGGTTTCTCGGAGCTTCAATGCGACTCGATTAGTAAAATACAACAGAAACTCGAGTACCTAAGGAATCAACTAAACGACCCATACACATTTAAGGGAATTTATAGATATGCTTACGATTTCGCTAGAGTATGTGCGATATTATCTATATCATCTATATTATAATATTCAGATTTACGTGTACGAATGTAACGAGCATCAAATTTGTCCGTTGCTTCTGATTATTTTGCTCGAATTTTTTATAGGACAAAGATCAACGTAGCATGGACATGGACACAGCAAGAGTAATGTTACAATTGCTTTTGGGAAAACATTGGCCACTGTTTACACAGTTTGCTCAGTTCCTAGATCAATCAAAGTACAAAGTGATTAATAAAGATCAATGGTGCAACATATTAGAATTTTCACGTACAATCAATCATGACTTATCTAATTATGATTTAGATGGAGCGTGTAAGTGCATAAGAGAAGACTGTTTATATTGATTTTAATAAAAACATAGTAGATTATCTTACATTTACAGAATTCATACGTTATTGTACATATAATATATGATTCTTTTAGGGCCAGTAATGCTTGATGAATTTGTTGAATGGTTAAAAATTCAACGAGACGAAGGATCATCTTCAACAGAAGCTAGAGGCAGCTGAAACATCATAAGAATAGTCCGTTGAACTAAAAACAATTCGTTTCTTTTATCATATAATATTCTGTAATTAACGACAAATTTCTGTTTATAAATATCATAATCTCGCAATATTTCCATTACCATCTCATACTATTTTTTTTATTACGATTAAATGGTAGTAATGTATTGTAAGTAGCTTATCTTGATTTATTACTATGATTTAGAATATCTTCTATACAAATTTGGCTGAAAATTTTTATTTAATCTGTTTTCTTATCGCCTCTTGCAATTAACCCAGGGTTTGTCGCAGAAACTCTTGTGATTAGAAATAAAACTATTTTGATATAAGATTTACTTGTGCAATTTACAAAAATAATTTGATATAAAAATAAATGAGTTGAACTGGTAATATAGCATTTTCCAAATTGAATAATATTTCAGATAATAATTGCCGTTGACTTCCAATGATTGTAAACTATACATTTTGTGTGTCATTGCAGAAATTTACTTTCTTTGGTGAAAATTTTTCTTAGAATTCTTCATATAAAAATTTCTTTTTTTTTTTCAAAATTCCTATATAATTTTGTAATATTTTGAAGAACTCGGATTTTTTTTTATAAGAATTGGTACACTTTTCAGAAATATTGAAAGAGGAAATTCATATCTTTTGAAGAAATCTTTATATGGGTGTTTCATTTTAATTGATATAAAAATATTTCGAGAATGAGATATGTGTGTGTGAGATTAAAAAGTTTCAGATGGAAACAGCATGATTTTGAGAGGGTTTTGTATTTAGATCATGTTATTTTCTAGGAGCGCGAGCATAGCATAGAAGACAGCGCACTAGTCTATCATGCCAGAGGTCCCGGGTTCGATCCCAGTAGGAACCAAAATATTTACGCTCATGTCTCCTCTCGGAAAAAGCCGGCAATCTCCCGAGAGTTCACAGAAACATCTCTAGAAAAATCTGCGGCATTCTCAGAACCGGCATTAAAACTGTAGGCCATATGCTCGTGGCAAAGTTATTTTCTAGGTAGAGATATCAAAGATATATGAAGGTCACCTCCACTTTTTAAAATTTGGAATATATAATTTTTTTATATAATATGATATTCCTTTAATTATTCTGCATGTAAAGATAGCGATATCAAAAAATTATAATTCCATTTGAAAGATGAGCGATAATCTTTATATCTTTCTGGCACCTTTATTTAGAAAAAAACGACGTAGCAAAAATACATATATTCCCCTTGAAACCGTACTATTTTCATCTAAAACTTGTTTCAATCCCGCACATGTTTCATTTTCGAGATATTTTAGTACGTTAGTTAAAATGAAATGCTCAATATATGGAAATTCTGAAATGTTCTAACAATAAGATCTCTCATTCTATATTTCCGGAAAAATTTATAATTTGAAAAAACTCCGGTTATGTATATGTTATATAATATATATAATTATTATATATAATTTTTATTATATAAATTTATTTTATAAATTTATTATATATAATTTTATGTAATTATATATAATTATATATGAAACATTTTTTTCCGGATTAGGGGATACTTTACAGAAATCGTCAAATTCAAAAATTTTAAATGTATAAAATATTCCTAAATAATGTGAGTTATGAGAAATTTTTTTCACCAGAGTTTTGATACGTTATTGGATATGTTAAATTAATAGAAAGCTATGTAAAACTTTCACATTCCATGTCACTGAATTAATATCGAAAGTTTGTAAGTTTTTGAAATTTATATTATGTGTATACATATATATATATATATACACACACATATATATATATGTATGTATGTATGTATGGTACACACACACACACGTATGTATGTGTGTATGTACATATATATATATATATATATAGTTTTCGTAACAAATTCTGTTGATGTTTTTAATTTTCCGTGGTATTCCTTCGTCCATAAACCTTGTAACAAACTTTTTACAAAATTTAGATATGTATAATATTGTCAATGTAAGACATTTAAAAAATACGCGAATATCACTAATTGTAAGTAGACTCATTGGTGAAGCGAAACACTATGCAGGTACTACTACAACGTTTAATACTCTAAAAAAAAATAGTACCATAAAGTGTTAATATCATGCACTATTTAGTCAAAATTAAGTAATTCCTGTAAATGCTAAAATTATGTGAATGTATATTAGAATAACGAACTCTCTTATTAAAATACAATAATATTTATTAAGTATTTCCCGATATCTTTCAAATTTACTAATGTCACAGACTATATTTAATTAATAAGGAAAATTCAATAACAAATGATCTGTTTTATAATTATTTATTTACAAAAGCTTCCCTATTAATATGTCTTTGATATTTTGTTCAATAATTTTAATTTATGTTAAAATTGAATGTTATCTTATTTATAATTTTTGTGATAGCTTCGCACCCCAAATTTCGAGATTTTAATATTTTAAAACTTTAAAACATCATCTAGAACTTTTGCAACATTTTTGAAACTTGTTTATACGGTATAATTATATAAAAGAATTATATGCAAAATATGTTATTTGATAAAGCGCTATTTTTATTTAATAAATTTTACAAAACTGACTTAATATAGTAAACAAAATTTAAATTTGTACATACATCACTGAAGTCGAGCCGTAAATCAATTTGATATAACAAAATGAACTCAAAATGAACACAACATTAATTATGGATTAATTGTAGCAGACTTCTTTAATTAAAGTCGTAAATATCTGCATTTTTTTCTATATATTTGATTTCTCTTTATACAGAATACGATATCAGTACTACATTAACAATGTGATTTTTGCATTTATATTTATAGCTTCTGAATACAATGAATAAAGAATTTCCGTGAAAAAAAATTTGCTTATTGAATATTTGTACATTTACATACTGCAAATAAGTTAATGCGAATTACAATTACAGGATGTTGCAATATTACTGCCATTACTGAAGCGTATAATGTATTGGATGATAATGAGTGAATAAAATATGTACCTTTTTCAATATTTCATTTATCGTTCTCGACTATCATTTTTATTAAAGGACGCAGCACAAATTTTTGTATACTCGTAACGTACAATGTATGAGAGAATCATTCAATCAGAATCCTTTTCCTTTTATTTCACGGAAAAGAGAAACTTTGATTGGTTGATTCTCTTATGCCATTATGCATTGTGCAAAAGTCTGTGCTACGACATTACATATGAATGTTAGTGTAGAAATAGAAATGAAAATATACAAGATATTTTATTAACAAAATTTTTATTCAAATTTTATTTCTTAATAGGTAACGTATATTACGCATTTTCTAATGCGTTATCACATCTATACAGTGGCTATTATATTGTATTATAAAAGTTCGTAAAAAGCTGTCAAACTTAAATAATTTTATATAATTATAGATAATACATTTTATACGCGTAAACGATTATATGATGTATTTACACAGCACAGCTTTTCAATTGAAATATTACATAATTACGAAAAAAACTCGCACTGTCCTAAAGTGAGAATAGAAATACTGCCAATAGTTAGCAGAAGACATAAATATCTACTCTTGATAGGGATCTTGAACAACTTGGCGCACATTTTTAAAGAAGACGTATACAAGAGTATACTATCGAGATCTTCGCCTGGAGTGGTTTGATACACGAATGGCCGTATACGTATTTCGTGTCCTACAGCTCGAATCATGGAGCAGGCATTCGTTAAACGAGCAGCCTATAAACAAAATATGTAATATAGGAGATGTATGTATAAAATTTATGTATACATATATTAGGTAAATTTATTTTTGTGTCTTAAAAGTTACGTTAATATCCTATAAAATTAATTTGGTTATGCTAAGTTACATAAACAAATTTCGTTAAAAATTAAATAATTTAAATTAATAATTAAGTTTAAAAATTTATTAAAAATAATTGCAATATGGAACGTACAAAGAACTTCACCCATTTCAATCGTATACAGATATTAATTATTACATACTATAACATATAACAAGGATTTTGTTTCACGACATAGCAGGTGATTTTAATATCAGATTTTCTCATAGACTACAAATTAAAAATGCTCCAGCACATCAGCACATCATTTTTTGAGAAAAATGATGTGCTGATGGGGTTAAAAGTAAAAAAAATGCATATTTGAAATTGTTTTAAAAAAATCGGATAGCTCGAATAAAAGCTTGAATCTTAGCGACAATCGTAAAATAAAGATAAATAAGTACTATGACAACATTTTTTGTAGCACAATATTTTTAAAGAGCGCGCACTTGTATTGTCTTTCTATGCAGATTAATTTTGTTTTGAAAATCCTATGATTATAATTATAATTGATTATAGTTAATTTATTCAAATAATTAAGATTTTTTTATTACAATTTTTATTATAATTACATATAAAATGATTGTATAATATAATTATGTAGTTGTCCTCTAACTTCTGTAGAAAGCAGTCATATAATCTTTTCAAGATATCACAGTTCATCATTAGAACTATCGAAATTGAAAAATAAATATTGTAACTCTTCTTTCTCTATAGAAGATATGTTTTCAGCAAAATAGTTGATATATTCTAGATATTAAATGAGTGGACACAGTACTTACAGTGCAAGAGTACCTCATTCTTACATATACTGATATACCATCACTAGGCAAGATGTCCTGAACATAGAAATAAATCTTATAGGTTGGAGATGGACAAAAAGAATTTAAATATTTTTAATTATATAATAGAAGGTTATTAATCAATTAAAAGCATCCTGTAGGCATAAATAGCAAAATTACGTATCTCATTGATGAGGTCCTAATAAATCTACAACTGTTTTAGCTGTTGGTACTTATGTAATTATAATCTATTCTTTATTTTTTTTCATACTCTACAATTTGACATACGATTCATCTCTATGCGGATGGGAGAGATTGAGCGAATGAAATCTGTACATAAAATGAGCAAAGGTCTTTAATACTTGTGAATGAAGTTTACATAATAATAATAAAAAGAAATAGAGTTTAGAAGAAATGTATTTTAAAATTATTTATAACAATAATATAAAAATAATTGTAATTACGTATAAACAATATTAAAGTTATAATAAACTTAAAGTTATAATAAACACATGAATAAATCAAATAAATAAAGAAGCCAAATGAAAAACAATTAAGTTACAAGTTACTAGTTCTCAAATAGCACATGTTCAAAACAGGACATAAAATATTTACTAAAAAACATCTTATATCTCGATTATGGATATGTGTTGTTTGAATTACTATCCACATAATACAATTTTAATATATTATTGAAAATAGGAGAAATGTAACACGGTAGTGTTGTTTATACCTGTATAAATGGTGCGATTGAAATCAAAATCCATAATACAACATTCATTGCACTAACATATGTAACATGATTACTGTCTCCATTGTTGACATAATATTGAAATAACCATATGATTCCTGCGACTGCCCATGACAGATTAACTATAGTATAAATGCAGACAGCTGGACCTAATTCGTCATTAAAGTATTTTAACAGTTTCTTGAATTCATCGATATCCTGTAAGTCACAAACAAAGAGAAACATATTGATAGAATAAATGAATAAATCGATTAAGCCGAATAATAATTGATTCTATAAGCAAACTATAAAAACAATATTAAGATTAAAAACAGGACCGTTTATTTGAATAAATTAATTAAATATAAAAAAACGCCAATTACAGTCAAAATTAGACTAATATCATCATCTCAATCCTATTGCTCGTGGCCGAGCGTGGTACTTGGTGGAACTTCTCTTCATATATGCCTGGTGCGAACACTGATTGTACAGTCATATGGCCTACTACATCAGACCTACTGTTTAACGTCGATTCCGAACGACGATTTTTGTTAGAGAAGTTCTCTTGGCAAAGATACCCTTGGAGGTTTGCCATTGCCTTGCCGAGAGCCGAGAGAAGTTACGAGTGTTCGAAAAATTTTTCGATTCTGCCTGGAGCTACGTTTCGTTTCATGCATGCGTATAATGTATCATTTATCCTTGTTTCAATCGAATATTAAACAAGGATAAATGATGCATCATGCGGAACGCAGCCTGGAATCGAACCCGGGATCTTTGGCATAATAGCGGTCTTGTGCGCTGCCGTTACGCCACGCTCTCACTCTAGATTAATATATGTGTATTTTAAATAAATTTTTCTCAGAAACGACTGTGTGCCGATTATTTTCGGTTTTTCAATCAATTTGAAATATTAATAATTACAGAGAGGTAATATTTTTCGCAATAAATTCTTTACAGGCTTTGAGATTATAGCTGTGTTCGCGCTCACAATGCTTTAAGCGTCGTTTCCTTTGTTGTTTTTAAATATTAAACAAGGACAATTGATACTCACAAGCGCCGTGAATGCCAAAGCGAACGCAGCCAACGTTAGTAGCGTCAAATAAAAAATCTAATTAAATAAATATTTATGTTTCAGATTGAGTGTTAAAAGACCGAAAGTAATCGGCGCGCAATCATTTCTAAGATATATAAATTAAGATAAATAAATTTATTAAAAACACTCTAACTTTTTAACTTAATAAGTAATTGGCGCTTCTTTATATTTAGTTGATTTATTCAAATTACAAAAGTCAATTCAAGGCGACAATAAATCAAAAATACGAATAATAAAATTATTATTATTTTTTCTTTTAACGATCTCCAATTTGATTCCTTGTGCAAAAGATTCATCAGTTAATATTTTGAAATTTACTTTCAATTATTGCTTTAAATGAATATTTAATTAATTTAGTTCGTTGCCCTGATAAAAAGAATTCTCATATTTTTAAGAATTTTACATTTATATCAAAAATAAAAAAAAATTAAACTTTTTCAAATCTTATAATTTTTCGCCAAAAATTATAAAATAAATCTTATTATACACACACACACACACACACACACACACACACACACACACACACACACACACACACACACACACACGCACGCATGCACATACTTTATATTTCACATATGTAAAGAATTCTAGAAAAGATGTAGATTTTTCACCATTCTTAAAAATGTTTCAATTCATATAAAAATTTAAAAAAATTTTCTAAAAAGTCATAAAATACAAAAATGATAAAAAATTTATACTTTATACAGTAGTTCTAATGAATTATATAAATTTTTTTTTTAATTTCAAATTTTTATGTGAACGGATAAATGTGTAGAAACATTAGAAATTACATTATAAATTACAATAAAATATAAAATATCATAATATAGAACATCGAGTTAAAATTGATTTCAAACTGAAGAATCTTTTATATGCATAAAGAGTCAAACGTGGGATTTCTTAATTTGTGCATAAAGAAAAAAAAGATAATCATTTTATCACACGTACGTTTACATAATAATGTAGTGAAACAATTTGTGCTTGAAATATTTCCTACTGGCCTTGAAATTATGATATTTATTCATTTTTTTCTTCAAATGTAAAATAAAAGATTATATTGCATGCAATAAATCGCAGACCCTCATCCAATCAATAGGCAGTAGAACATGTTGGAGCAATTTTCCGCGCAAAAAGTAAAGATGTGACATCAATAGCTGCCCTTGCAGACAGTAACTTGTTATAATGGTTCCTTGGACCATATCGTGCCATAAAGTGCAGATGATTAGGAATACTTTTAACATTATTTTTACTTGATATGGACTGTAGAGAGAAGACAAAATATGAATATTTCAATTTAATTACCCTTCGAAGCAACATTCCGTTCAGCATGGATTGTAACTATTATGAGTAATCACCTATTTTCCATCCATTGAAACACAATATTTCTTTCTGCCATCTGAATATTTACTGTGACCAGTGCCATGATTATCCATACTATACTTAATGCTATGAATAACCATAATATGTGTACAAGACGCTTTTGATTGCCATGATTTATCGGATTCGAGGAGAGCAGAAACGCTCTCTCCATTAGATTCTGTAGTTGCTCGTTTTCCTTGACGCGAAATAAATATATCGTATATAAATACGCTACTAAATGTAATATACTTGGGATTAAATAGCTGAATATCACATTTCCATAACAGGACGGTTCCTGCGTTTGTTGCTCATTGTCTGGTCCATTTTGTTCCAGGAATATTTTGTAACAGAATCCTCGATCTCGTCTGAAAACGATAAAATTTTATTTCATCATTCATTTTGTTATAGCACTTAAAAATCGGAAATAAAAAGTGAATTAAACAATATAATTACAAAGGCTTTAGGAGTCAACACGAAAAATGCACAAATTTTTTTATTAAAAATCTTTAATTCACATTAGTCAATTTCAAACAAATATCTACAAAATTACGTACGTAACTAAATGGCTCGAACTTGAGCTGTTTTTATTTATTTAATTTAAATTTGTGATTATTTGTTGGATATTAACTAATGTAAATAAAAGATTTTTAAGAAAATTTGCACATCATTTTTGTTGATTCCTTTTAATTTTTATTTTTAATTCATATTGCTTAAATTTCGAGAAGTCCATATTATTTAATTTTAATTGTTTTTAATTGTGAATTAAACAAGTTAATAATAAATTTGAAATGTAGAAGAGATAAAAAAAATCTTATGATATAGTTACATATATACACATATATACACGCATGATATAATTACATATACAGAGTGAGGTATTTAAATTGAGATTTAAATATCTTGAAAAGAAAAGGTATTTTAGAAAAAAATATTCCAAACAAAAGTTGCATTATCCGAAGAGCGACAAATAATGGTGAAATGAATTTTCGAAAAAATCGATTCAAGATCTTATAAAGATTATCTCAATTTTTTAAATATTACGATATGATTTATTTACGTGATGTTCTTCTAATTATTCTGCATATAAAACTATTAAGGTACAGTTATCACAAAATCAAAATAGTTCACGAATTTATATCTCATTCTGATACATTTTAATATAAAATATAAAATATTTCGCAAAAATATTTATTTTTTATGTATTTTTACTTTATAATAGTATTTTATACCTTATATAATTTATTTATATTACATATTGCTATTATATATAGAATAATAAGATAAATCACTTTATATAAAAAAGACAGTTGCTTGTAAAAAAATTATGCAATTTATAATATGAAACTACATAGTTTTTTTAAAAGCAACTATGTATTTTTTTTCATTATGTGTAATACGTGTAAAAATAGGATAATAAATTACCTGAAACAAGCCATGTATTGTAAAATATATCCAATACATATAAATATAGTAACTTGAATTGTATGAAGATTCGATAAAATCGAACATCGCAGAAAATGATCATCACTGTTAGTTGGTCTCAATCCCATCACTCCTAATAACCTCAGATAAGGTCTTAATATTTTATGTTTACAATAATGAAGTACAGCTGATGTACTAATGAAGTTCTCATAATCTTCCGTAATTTCATCTACTTGCTGTACAACAGACAAATCGTATTAATTTAAGACTCAATAAATTTCTATATTATATACTTTAAAACTTACATAATAAGACAAAGAATTGTTGTTTATTATAAAAATTATTATTCTAACAATACTACTTACATCTGTGCTTTGAAAAGTTGTTATACTTGTTAATATAGATGGTACGAAGATCTCCGTATATTCTTCACGATTTTGTTGAGGTAGATTTGTATCATTCTTATATTTATTATTACAGTCTACCTATGAATGGTATTCATTGTATTTATTTCAATAATTGTTATAAAATATCTTAAGAAAAAATTTCCTAAAAATAGTGAAGATGTGTACATGCGTACGTGTGCACGCATTTGCATATGATGCACGCACGTACTGAAATATAATGTTTTATCAAAATTTCACGAGAAAATTATCTCATCGATATATTATATAATAGTTTTATAAAATAAAATTATAATGTGACGAGAAATTAATTTTTCATATATGACTTTCTAAATAATTTTGAAATTATATCGACTTTGTTCTAAAGAAAATACAAGAAATAAATTTAATTGCTTAATATATAATACCTATTATTGAAATCAAAACAAGATTCTGCTAAACATATTAAGCATGAAGATTAACAAGTTGATACATTAGGGAAGGTTACATTTCGATCTACTGTAACATCTCATGGGCAAAGTTTTAAGATTGTACAATCTATTAATTGGATTTATGGAAAAATCAGTTTAATCAATTAATATAATAACTCACCGACGCCATTTGAATATCTTTGGCCAAGTAGTTGACCACTGTTTTCGAACTTGGAAAGAAAATATTTATATCAATAGTTTGACATGTGGCTCACTCTACATATGAATATAAATTATATCAGTTTGCCAAGATGACATTTCACCTTTGCTCAGAGATATTCACGTGCATCACGGTTAACCAAGTCACTACGTTTGTAAGAACACGGCGCGCATTATAAAGCGAACAAATAAAAATAAATTTAAAATTTTTTATATTTAGAGTATTTTAATACAAGATATTAATAAATTAACATTTTTATTTTTAATATTAACATTTGTAAATACATAAATGTAAATACATTAGCATTTCTTCCTTAAAATACTTCCTGCGGGTCGTAACACATTGTATTCTATTCTGCGACGTTTTACTTCCGGATGTTGTTTTTTCTATAATACAAAAAAGAAAATAAATGACAATATCATAAAGTATGTTTCGATCTGTAATTAAATTGAATGTTAGTGGATATACTTTTCTAATAACAAAAGTCATCTCTTTACTACCACGCGAACCGGAGACTTTTATATTGTGCGTTTCTTCATTTTCCAATCTTGCACCGAACGTTGCTCTACACAGAACATAACATAATTTTAAATGATTCGAAATCCAAATGCATAATACTTGACAAATCAAGACAAGATCAGTATTGTTCTGTACTTATTCTGTTTTTTCTTTTGCGGACCACCATCTTCGAACTTGACTTGATTCTTAATTTTATCTATCTTCAATTCATACTTTGGAATCAGGTTAATATTATCTTCATTCTGCTGTTCTCTTTCTCTTTCGTTTTTCTTTATTAATCGATAATTTTTTTGAACTTCTTTAACCCACTGTTTCTCATCATCTGAGCTATCATTGTCAGAACTGTCATGGATAAAGCTCTCATCAGAACTATTGCCTTAAAAGAAAAACCACAATATAAAAAAATTTGTATATATGCATACATGCGTGTGCGTGTATATATATATCATTACTTTGAATTATTTATTTACCTTTTGATTTATCCTCATAAATTTTATCTTCTTGTTCATCTTCTTCTTCATTTGGCAATTGTCGTTTCAATTTTTTAGCTTTATTTTTAATAAGTTGAGAGACAACAGGATTTAATAAAGCGTATTCTTCGGAGTTTTTATCTACTTGGAAATCAGGATTGTTAAAGAGAGCTTTAAATCGTTCGTCTTTCAGCAGATTAGAAGACGTTTGTTTCTTTTTATTTTTAATATTTGTATTCTCCATCAGTTTCAACGCCAACTCCTGATTCACATTTGGTAACTTTTGTATCTGTTTTTTATTTTAAAAAATAGATTATGTAAATTAATAAAATCAATATTGATTTTTGAAATATACGAATTAAAAATAGAATTTGATATATTAAGTAGCTATACAAAAATAAAATAAAATTAAAAAATACTTGTACTCTGTTGACGGCCTCCTCTTTAATCTTGTCACGAATTCTCTTCTTTTTGTATTCTTCGAATTCAAATGGTTTCATTACATCCCTTGCTTTCTTATATAATCGGATATCCATAAAGTAGCCGTGCATATAAGCTCTGAGTAAATTAGTGCCCTTCAAATGTGAAAGATTTAATTCGTCCAATTCTTTATCAGTTACAAATTTGTAATCATCATAGATGATATCATAATTCAGTTCCTCCAATTCCTCCGTAAGATTGTCAAGGAAACTGCACCAGTATGGGGCAGGGCCAAGACTGGGAATGTAATATACTTGCATTTTCACACTTTCATTAGCTGTCAGCAACATACCACTGTTCGGTATGACAGATAAATCATTGAAATTATGTTGAGAAGCTTCTATAGAAGTATAAAGTTTACCCTAAAAAAAGAAAAATAATTTTGAGATTCCTATTGTACAATAAAAAAATATTTTACATTTTGACTTACAGAGACGAAATACGTGATTCTAATTCTTTTAATTTAAGAATAATTTCAAAATTCCTTCAAAATTCTTTTTCTCGAAAACGAAGCTTTAAAAAGTTTATCATTTTAATTTATTCTAAATTATAGAATCACGATTTCATGATTATATCGCATATTTTGGCTCTGTAAAGCTCAACTTTAAATAAAGTAAATTTTACTCACACTATCCTTCTTCCATATTTTTACAATGGAACTGTCCATCGAATAAACAAGATCCATCTTTTGGTGGAAATCTATACATTTGATTGGTAATCCATACATATGATCTTTAACTAAAAATGGTTTATTAGATCTTATATCATATATCAATACATGTCCAGTTGATGTACCAACTCCTAAATTCAATCCTCCTTGAAATTTCAAGGTAGTAATTGAGGGAACTGTTTCCAACCTGATTTAAAAAAGATTAATTGTATCAATCTATAAATTAGATTCCAATAAAGAGTAAATTCTATTAACTAATCTGTGCTTCGCGGGTTTTCTCCATGTCTTGGTCCATTCTTGATGTGCCAACGTTTCGTGGGCCTTGCAGTCCACTTCATCAGGGCGAGGAGCAGCCTGATACTGAGCTGTTCCTCCAGGTCCTTCCTTTTTTATGTTACGCTACTTGTTGAGGTGGGGGTTTTTTGGAGGTGGAGGGGGGGGGGTTAGAGTGATGGGGGAGACAGTGGAATCTTGGTCGGTCTTTGCTAGTCGGGAGGATGGTCTTCCATATCTTACTTATGTTATAGCCATTATCCCTGTTTAGATTGTTAGGGTGTTTATATCATCCCAAAGTTCCTACAACTCAAGAACCATCTAGGAACTCAAAAAACCAAAAACATCCTCCAAAAAACCAGCCTTATCCTTACCAAAGAACGTATCCATTTCACTAAGTCACGAATAGCCCAGATCTCCCACAACATCTTTAAACTGCACCTGTTCCTATCCGCCACGCTACGACATGACATCTGGCAAACCCTGGACCGCATTACATATGAACAAGCCAGACTAACTTTTACCCAATCCTCTGAAAGACAGAAACAGAAATATATGAACC